TCGGTTCAGTTGCTTCCAATATCTTGCTTTCTGCCTGCATTGGTTCTGTTGTTTCAACTGCAGTGGTAATGCAAACTCATCTGCTTTTAATTTCTTGCTAACAATCTGCTCATGCTCAGCTACTTCTTCTACTTATGTTAGAGCTAATTGATTGGCTCTAGATATCTTTCCTAGTGCTGATTTCTCAATAGAAGTTGTAGCATCCATTTCTCTTTGCAGCCTTCCTTCTTTATTTCCTGTTCTTCTCCAAGTTTTGAGTTGCCCAGAGGCTTTGGGAGGAGATGGTGGTTTTTTGAGTTGTTTCGATGAAGAGTTGGATATAGAGTCTGGAGTTTCCCCCTCCATATCTCTTTGGTGACATGGAGCTGGCATACTAGATGCAACTGTTTCAGCAGGTTTGGGTGAGATGGTTATGGGTGACGATAAATGTTTAGCAGTTTCTGGATTGGAAATGGGAGCTGGTTCAGAAGGTCCAGGGTTAAATGGAATGAGTTGTTGTTTTTCTAGAAATTTTTTAGAGGAGTTTGTGTGAGTTGGTTGAGATTCAGTGTTTGAAGGATTGGTTTGTGGTGGGGAGTTTCGGGAACTTGATATGCTTACTTCCACCCAGTTGTGACCATCTACCGCTTTCATCCAATCTCCATATTGGCCTTCACTAAGCGTATGAGTTTTGATGTCTTCCAATCTTTTGGAACATTATCCAGATGACTGATAAATCCACAATAATGACACAAGTTAACTAATTTTTCATACCTGAAACTGACATTGACCAGCTGATCTCCGAGTCTAACATTAGCACAGCGAGGCAGCGGTTGATCCAAGTTCACTGAAGTCAAAAGTCTCAGAATACAGCCTCCATGATTCCCTGAGCTTACTATAGCCACATTGTGAACTTCCTTAAAAATTTGGCCGATTTTGAGCCCTACTTCAGTACTCAACCAATTCAGTGGTACATTCAGCACTTGAACCCAGATATGCAATTCATTGAAGCAGGGATGTTTACTTGACATATTTTCTTGCCATTCCTGGAGTATGAGATACTGGTTCTCAAAACTCCAGTTCGTTCCAGCCATTACTTTCTGCAAGTCCTCTCTACTTTGGAATATGAATTGAAAGTAGTTAGGCCCAAGCTCTTTGACTTCCATTGGTTGGGAAATCTTCCATATGTGATTCATGGTTCTCTTGACACCAATCCAGCTAGCTGTTCGGTCTCCAATAATTTTGCCGAAAAGACTCATGTGGCACTCATCGGACCGATTTAATTTAATAAAATTTAATTTTTTTTTAATATGTTATGAAAAGGTGTGAAGAAATTATACAGTAATATTTCAGTACAAACAAAATACGAATTAATTAAAAAAAATAAAAAAAAAACTTCAGTTACCTCTTCTAATGTAAAATTGCACCTGCATCGTAACAAAAAATATATATAAATAATTAATGTATAATATAATAAAATACACAAAAAGAAGTATTGTCAATCAACTAAATGTCCAACATAAATCCTACCATAATTTTTTTTTATGTATAATGTCCACCAAAGCTGTTGTACATCTTTTAATGTAATATTCTTCGTTTAGCAAAATAAAACCAAGAAGAAGTAATCAATTGACAGCTTAATTTGCACCCAAAATTTATTTATCTATGATCAATCTGTTTTACAGCATTTTTAACATAATTATTATTATTATTGATTTCACATTTAAATCCTATTCCACCTTGGTTATTGCACCTTTTTTAATGTCCATTTCTTAGTTTGTAATTAATTAACAATAGGTGATCATTTGGCACTACATTTTTACCCCAAATTTTGATGTCAATGACATGGCGGTGATGTTTTTATAAAGATTTTGCTTTATTCTTTTATTTGCAGATTATATTTTTCTTCATTTTACAAAATCTATATATATATATAGGGTTAGGATCATATGAGAATGGTAGATAGTGAAAGAAATGAGAATAAATATGTACCATTGAATTCAACATATCAATGGTTATAATCTAGTCAAAATTAAGTATGGCAGTCAAACTGGCGGTGGCAGTTTTGTAAATAAGAGTTCATTTCATAGTCAAAAAATACACATGAACCACTAAATAAGGGTATAAGGGTATTTACACATTAATATTAAAACCCAAGTGGGCCCCACCACTACCACCAACAAACATACTTTTCTCTCTCCTCTATCCTCTCTCCTCTCTCCTCTCTCGTTTCTCTCCTCTCTCCTATTTCTATCCGTCGCCGAAAGCTCGCGTGCATCTTCCATTTATCCACTGTGCACCGTCGCTCGTTCGCCGCGCCTCCTCCATCTCAGGCCCGCCGTTCTTCTACCGTATACCTTCACAAACCCGCGGCCGTGCATCCGCCATTCGTCAGCCGCTCAGGCCTCCTCCGTACACATTCCCAAGCCGCTGCCGCGCATCAGACATGATTCTGTCAATTTCGCCATCTCAATCTTCCTCTGCCTACCTTCACCAGACCGCCGTCGTGCATCCGTCGCCAGCCGTCGTGCATCAGTAGCCACGACATATGAGACTCCAGCGAGGAAGCCGGCGAGTAGGTTGTCGGCAACCAGTCTCGGCGAAGTCCTCCTGCACAACTCCTTAGCGCCACCCCATTCTCGTCGGCGTCGAACCTCTGGTCACGGTGTTGGCGGTGGCGAGACCACTGGCTGTAGGTTGCTGCACTTTTTTGAATTGGGGGAATTGAATTTGTGAATTTGATAAAATGTAAGGCCTTGATTGCAATTTTAAAAAGTTTAATATATTACAATTTAGTCTAGGGGTCAAATGTGTAATTAATCAAACTATAATTAATATGTCAATATTCATATGTAATGTTTTTTTTTTAAATAAATAATATGGTACATGCAAATATAAAAAGATATTATTTATTATAAAAACATGACTAGTATCTAATATCTTTTTTATTTGATATCTTATATATGTTTTGATTAAAAAAATTATTCAATACACAAAAAAAATATATTGCGCAATCTAACTGATATTAAGGTGCAAGTTGCCAAACATTATAGTACAATGTGTTGGTCTATATTGTGCAGATTGAACCACACAAACCATTGTCCTATGTCAAATTGAAAATGAACATAATTAATTGTTTTATTCGGTTCAGTTAATCGAATTATCCTAAATAATCGAAATATTTTTTTATTTATATCAAAGTTATATTTAATACGTTAATAATTAATTTATTCTTTATTATTATTTTAGGTTGAGAAGAATTTGAGTTTGGTCGGTTTCAACTTCTATTGTGCAATCTGATAGTGTGTTTAAGTGCAACGTGTTATTTTGTAGTGTGCAACGAGTTATTTTATTAAGTGCAACATATTGAACTACCGTAATACGTTGACATGCTTGTGTTTTAACTTTTATGTGGCTAAATGATGTGATCGATGTTAAAGTATTACGCATATCTGTGTGGTCTTTTGGTGGGTGTTGTTGACATTAATTGTGGATTTTTGTTGATAGAGTGCAACGGGATGTTTTATAAAGTGCAACGTATTTTATTTATAAAGTGCATCGTGTTGATATATAAAGTGCACTTACAAAAAATGTCAAAAACTCTAAATCCCTAATTTGGACTTATTGTGGAAATAATTTATTATTTGTATTATAAAACTATATTTAATATTTTAATTTTTTTATTTAATATTTAGGTTATTTTTTAAAACATAAAGCTACATTGAACCGAAGTAACTAAAATTTTAAAGGTAAACACATGTAATTGATCCGACATAAAATTCGATCACAAAAAAACTAATTCGACCGGGTTCGGTTGCTAAAGTGCAATCTGTCAGTTAGTAATGTGCAATCCATATAACACTAAAGTGCAATATGGTAGTCATTAATATGCAATCAGTCTAACAATAATGCGCATTCCAAGTGCAATTATATAATTTTTACACAAAAATAAATTTAGTATTTGTAATATTTTATTAAATACTTTATATTGTTGTTTTATGAAAATAAATAATATATATAGATAAAATATAATTTATTTTGATATCCTAAATTTTAATATTATTTAAAAATTGATAATGTGCATTTCTAAAGAAACTAATGTGCAGTTCGTCTAACATTATTGTGTACTCTATTTATTATGTACACCTCAAATTTTGAAATTTTTAGTTAATGTGTATTTCAATCAAAATATATAATATAAATAATATTTTTTATATATGTCGGTCGATTTCATTTATTTTTAAAATAAAGCCGAAACCGAATTAAAATAACTAAAATTTTAAAAATAACAAATGCTAACCAAACCGCACCAAAAATTTTACTTCGACCGTTTCAATCCGTACACTATTACGCTAAAATGCAATTTCACATAAATTAATATTAATATTTTTTAACATTATTAGGTATTACCCATTACATGTATTTTTAACAAGCATATCTAAAATATAGTGCAATCAATAATTTTTTGACAAATTATTGTGTAATTAAAGGTTTTTTGATAAATTAATGTGCAATTATTAAAAATTTGGTAAATTAATTTAACCCATGATCTAGATTATAATACATTTTTTAATGTGCATTACAAAGAATATTGTGCATTTCATTTATATGCATATTTAGTGTTTTAATATTTTATTATTTTATACAAATATAAAAAAATACTCTAAATCAAAATAACCAAATGATTAAAACTCGCTAACATAACCGACATAAAAAATGAACTAAATTTTGTATCACGACCGGTTTCAATCATTTTTCTCGATTTTGTGCATTATGTAGACCGGACATTTTAATGTGCATATACACTTTTTATATTGCGCATGTCAATTAACATTAATTTGCATTTATTAACTTTTTAATAAATTGTAAATCTATCCCATACATTCAATTGTAATTATAGTAAAATGTTTGAAATTGCCTTAGGACCTCTAAAAATTATCCAATTTTCAACTAAAAGCCCCTAATCCCCAATTAATTTTTCTCAGCCCAACATCAAAATTGAAACACGATGCCCTCATCCCCTAGCCGATGTCAACCGAACCCCTTGCCACAGCCGCCCTTTGCCACATAGTTACCTTCTCCGTCATCGTCGCTGCCTCAATCCACAAAGAATTTGAGGCAATCCGCCACATAGAGCGGCGAAATCGGCGGATCATGGTGGCTGGAGAGAGACCATCTCGATTTCTGAAATTCGACAGCGATTGTGTCATTAATATTTGGCCGTCGGATCTGGGTGGCGGGGAATGGTCGAAGTCCGGCGTGCTGCAATTTGCGCGGTGGCAGACCTGCGCGGAGGTGTGGAGGCGTCCTCAGTGAGTACAGGGTGTGGGCGGTGGTTGTGGGTGATGCTGGGTGGCTCTGGGCGGAGCGCCGGTGGGAAGGTCGGTGACGAACGAGGTAGTCGCAGGCTAGGGGGCGCGATTTGTGTGTGTATTGGGTATCTGTGGGCAACCGATTGGGCGAACGAGATGGTCGGCGGCGAGTGGTAGTTCGGCTGCCGACGGACAATCGTTTGGACTCTCTCAGGTGGCTTCTCGTCGGCGACCGCTGTTCGCCGGCGGCAGGTCGAGATATAGCGACGGGCTGAGGGAGGCAGAGATATGTGTGTCGATTTGCTCTGTGGCGTGTGAGACAGAGAAAGCGAGTGAGGTGAATAGAGCGGGAGGAGGAGCGGCGACGGCGGCGGACGGGCGGTGGCGGCGGCGGACTGGCGGTGGCGGGCCGGTGAATGTGTGTCGGTCGATTTTGTTATGTATGTATGTGTGTGTTTGTGTTTGAGAGAGGGAGAGGTGCGGTTTGAATGGTGGGGTGGTTGGGTTGGCAGGTTTTTTAATGTGGAATGGGGCCCACCTTGGTGTGGTGTAGAAAAATACTACAATACCCTTGCTGAAGCTGAATGTATAATTTTGACTTTTTTTTTAGCCACTAGATCCTCCGATCCAATTACTACGATTTATTCTTATTTTCTCGCATTAAGAGTCATTCTCACCGGAGCGTGACCCTATATATATATAGGGATTGGTTCCAATGCATCCCATTATTTAAAGTGAGGACGTGAGACTCATTCCTAGCCACAAGATTTAGATCTTGATTTAAATAATAATTTTTTATTTTTATTATTTAATTCTTTATTTTTAATTATTTAAATATTATTATGACCATTGACCGTTGACTCCGGCGTTGACCGTTGACTTCCGGCGTCGACTGTTGACTTCCGACGTTGACCGTTGACCATTTGTCTTTTGTTATGTTATTTCTTTCTTGTTAGGTTAGTTGTGTCTTGTTGCTAGGTTAGTTGTTTGCTGTTGCTAGGTTAGTTATTTGTAGCTGCTATGTTAGTTGAGTTTGTTGCTAGGTTATTTTTTTCTTGCTGCTAGGTTAGTTGTCTTTTGTTGCTAGGTTAGTTCTTTCTTGCTGCTAGGTTAGTTGTCTGATGCTGCTAGGTTAGTTGTCTTTTGTTGCTAGGTTATTTCTTTCTTGCTGCTAGGTTAGTTGTCTTTTGTTGCTAGGTTATTTCTTTCTTGCTGCTAGGTTTTTTTTTTTTTTTTTTTTAAAAAAACAACGCCCCGGAAGGGCGGGGGATTGGGCTGGATCCCCAACCTGTGCATAGATCAGGGCCCCAAAAACGGGAGCCCAAAATGTCAACGAACCAGATACAGAGGTCTACATAGTCTGAAAATCAAAAACAAAAACAAGAAAAACAAAAAAGAAAAAACCGAAAAATGAAAAAGAAACAAAAAACTACATAATAAAGTCGATCTTCGGGCTAACAGATGCCCGAGATAAGTCTATACTAATGAAAATAGAAATCCTATACTAGTGAAAGCGGAACGCTGGGTATCCAAGCTGGTCCATCCGTACAAGAGTGCGAAGGCGGAGTGGAGCAGTGTCGGTCTGGAATGTATGTGTGCCTGGTATGGTGGCGCCAAGGCTGGCCAGGTAATCAGCCGGTCTGTTCCCCTCACGGAAAATGTGCGTGATCCTGTGATGGACTGACTGAAGTAGATCTCTAATGCGCAGAAGCGGGTGCTGAATCTGCCACGAGCCCTGATGGCCCGAAGTCAGGAGGGTGGCGACAGCCGCAGCATCCAGCTCGATCCATATATGACTAGAGATGTGGGCAGCTATCTGAAGGCCAATCTGTAGTGCCTGAATCTCTGCGTCGTAGCTCGAGGAGGCCTGAATGGACGCGTGAAAGGCGGTGATGAGGGCGCCGCTATGGTCCCGAATCAAGCCTCCTCCTCCGGCAACTCCAGTGTGGCGATCGAAGGAGCCATCAGTGTTCAGCTTGACCCACGGAGAGTCAGGTCGAAGCCAAACAACAGCTCTGGCCCGAGGAGTCCGAACAGGCGGTGGTGTGGCCACCATGTAGCGATGCGGTGGCGTGCAGCCTGTCCAGTCTCGGGCCGTGAGCCTGCCCAAAGAGATGAGGAGTGAAATGTGTCTCTCAACCTGCAAAACAATGTGAGAAAACATAAAAGTAATATCCCTAAGCTTCGCACTATTCCTTTCTGTCCAGGTGAACCAAAGGATCAGACAAGGAATGAGGAAGCCCACATGTCTAAGGTGTGTGCTCTGTGAGAAAAAAACTCAGGAGCTCAAAGAAACTGTATGTGGTGGGTAGGGATATATGAGTCCAAGTGGCAAAATGCTCCCACACTCTCCTCACAATGTCGCTCTCTAGAAAAAGGTGGGTAAAGGTCTCGGTCTCATGACGTCCAGTCTCAGAACAACACACACACCGAGAGGGGAAGGAGATCCCCCTCGCGTGTAGCACAGTATCAACGGGTATCCGCCGCAAGAGAAGGCGCCAAAGGAATACCGACATAGTAGGCGTAAAAAGGTCACTCCAGATAGCCCCGAAGAGGAGATTAGGCCGATCCCCCAGCCTTATCTGCTCCCAAGCCGAGGTAGTAGAAAACACACCTGATGATGTAAGTCTCCACCTCATGCTATCTGAACCGTCCCCCGAGATAGGGATCTGCTGGATCTGATCTAATAACTGCTCGCTAAAACCCGCACCAGCCCCCAACTCCCTATCAAGCTTCCCCCTATCCCACGACCCATCCGACCATAGGTCGCGCACGAGCAGGTAGGGGGAATGCGACACCTGCCTATCCCTAGACAACGGCCTATCACCTACCCACCACTCATCCCAAACACTGACATCGCCCTCGCCCAAAACCCAAAAGATGTGATCCTGGGCGCGCCTCCCGACCCTAGTGAGGCGCCGCCACTGTCTGCTATCATGATCAACAGCAGTGACCCAGCAAGGGTGGTTGGCACGTCTAGGGCAGTACTTGCCGCGAAGGTACTGGGCGCAAAGTGACTTTCCTTCCCTGAAGCGCCACCACAGCTTGTATGAGAAAGCTGTAACCATGTCCCTGAGGCGGCGGATGCCGAGGCCACCCTCGGGGAGGGGGCGGAAGATAGAGTCCCAACTCACCCAGTGAGTGCGTCTCGCCCTCCCAGACCCGTCCTCATAACCCCAGAAATATCGAGCCATAATCTGGTCAATCTCGTCAAGAGTAGACTTAGGGGGGTCGAGGACCATAAGCAAGTGAATCGGAAGAGAGCCAAGAGTGCTCTTGATCAGCGCTAGCCGACCACCGAAGGAAAGATATCTATGCGACCAACCAGAGATCCTGTCGATCATCCTTTGCCTGACGCCCGCAAACAGCGCTCTCGTGAGGTTGCCCTTATATAAAGGGACCCCGAGGTAGGTAATGGGAAGGTCGCCACGCGCAAAGCCAGTAATGTCGTGGACCCGCTGAGCCCACCTGTCCACGGTGGCAGATGAAAGGATGAAGGTGCTCTTCTGCACACTGACCAGCTGACCGGTGACCAATCCATAGTGCTCCAAAAGGCACATAAGCTCGACCAGTCCATCATCATCCACCCGGGTGAAGATAATGATGTCATCCGCATAGGAGAGGTGAGAGATGGTAGGACCATAGCCACGGGTGCTATAGGTCATATGGAGAGAGTCGCGGATGAAGCCATCAAGGCAGCGAGAGAGGTAGTCCGCCGCAAGAACAAAGAGGGAAGGGGAAAGGGGGTCGCCCTGTCTAAGGCCTCTATAGGAGGGAAAGAAATCGGTGGGGCCGCCATTAATCAGGACCAAGAACGTGCAATGCTCCACACACGCCTCCACAAAGCTGATCCACCGCTCAGGGAATCCCATCCTAGCCAACGCCTCCCTAAGAAACGGCCACTCAACCCTATCATACGCCTTAGCCATGTCTAGCTTCAGCGCGATATTTGGAGCCCGCTTCCAGTCCGCTCGGGAGATGTCGTGGATCATCTCCTGGGCCAGAAGGATGTTATCACTAATGACCCGGTCCTTGACGAATCCACTCTGGTTCGGAGAGATGAGGGCGGGAAGAAGAGGGGAAAGACGTCCGTTAAGAATCTTCGAAATGGTCTTGTTGGTCACGTTACACAGGCTGATGGGCCTGTAATCGGACCAAGAGCTCGGGTTAGGTCGTTTGGGGATCAAGACGACAGAGGTAGACGTGAAGGAATCCGGCATCCGGTGGCCGGAGAAAAAATCCAACATCGCCTCCTCGACGTCAGTCTCGACAAGATCCCAGCAGACCTGGTAGAAGAGGGAGGAGAAACCATCCGGGCCAGAAACGCTGTTGGGATCAATCCCGAATACAGCATCCCTTACCTCCTCCGTACTCGGGAGCTCACAAAGGCCAATGAGATCGACCGAAAGAGGGATGGTGGGGAAAAGAGAAGCGGTCGGGGCTACGAGGGACCCTCTGTCAGAGGTGAAGAGGGTCTGGAAGTGAGCAACAGCCGACTCCCGAATCTGAGCCTCCTGGGTCAAGGATGACCCATCAGCCTCGATACTATGGAAGTACGACTTAGCACGCTTCTGCCTAACGTAGCCTTGGAAGAACCTAGTGTTCCGCTCGCCCTCGGCCACCCAGCGAACGGCCGCCTTCTGCTTCCAGAAGTCCTCCTCCATAAGGACTCGGAGCTGGTACTCGGCGTGGCAGCGGTGCATGGCAGTCCTATTCTCCGGAGTGGGATCCAGGTCATAGGCCCGCTCAGCCGTCGCATGCGCACTCTGAGCCGCAGCAAGGCGCTGATGAAGGTTTCCAAAAACATCCCAGTTCCACTGTCTCAACCGACGCCGCAGTCTGCCGAGCTTTGCCTCGAGATTGCGCATCCCGAAGAGCCCAGTCGGCTGAAGCCAGGAATCCCTGACAGTGTCGTGAAAAGAGTGGTGGCGAACCCACATGTTTTGGAACCTAAACGAAGAGCGGCGGCGGGTGCTCGAAAATCGGCACCGGATGAGAAGGGGTGAGTGGTCAGACCCGAATCGAGTAAGGTGTGTGACGGTCGTAACCGCAAACACCTTCGACCACGCCTCAGAAACTAAGGCACGGTCTAACCTCTCTTTGAGTCCGTCCCTCACCCACGTGAAGGGCTCACCATCACATCCAGCGTCAATTAACTCGCAGTCCGCCACCGCCTGAGCAAAATCCCACATCTCCCGTGACCGGTCCGTACGGCCACCCACACGCTCATCGGGATGCAGAAAGATGTTGAAATCGCCACTAACCATCCATGGCAATCCCTCCATACTCTCTGCAATCTCACGCCGGGTGTCCCAAAGGTCATATCGCCCGACCCTAGTACACTTGGCATAAACCAAGGTGTGAAAGATGGGCTCCGGGAGGTGGGCAGCGGAAATCTCGACGTGAAGCACCTGATCGGTGTCGCGGAGGACCCAACAAGTGTAGTCACGCGAGTGGAAGAACCAGATCTTATGCGAAATATTACCCACGCCCGAGTGGAAGCCCAGGCGGCGCGAGTAGTGGTCAAAAGAAGGAGTACGAATCATCGGCTCAATAAAGCCAACAAAATCGACTCTGTGGTCACGAATGAGAGAATGAAGGTGAGAAAGAGTAGCCCTGTTCGCCAGGCCACGGCCATTCCAAGTAATGGATGTAATGGACATATCAACGGTCGCAAGAGCCACCGGACGTAGTCCGCCTATGGCGAGGCTGATTCGGGCCACCTAAAGAAGGGGAGATCGTCCGTCGTGTCGTGCGGCGAAAGGGTCCAATAGTAGGGGAGGTCGTCCGCCGTCTCGTGTGCTGCGTGGCTCTGGGCCTCGAGGTCTGTCTGCCTCTGTATGTACTCGTGGCCTGCGAGTCGTCTGGCTGAACAGACTGACCTATATCAGCACTAGCGGGTTGCCCCATCTCCGGGGCTGACTCCTGTCTGTCAAGGTGAAGAAAAGCACTAGAGGCGAAGCTCTCGCACGAGACGTCATGCTGCGCGCGGTTAAGCCTGCATATCTGCTCGGGGATGGGTGAAAGAGGGAGCCCAGCAGGCAGAGCACTCGGTTGTCCGCCGGTAGAAAAAGGTTGGGAGGTGGCTATAAGATATACCGAGCTCCCAATCCCAGCAGGGGGGGGAGGGGGGTTGGCCGACTCATCCCCTTTCGGGGGAGCGGTGGCGGCAGTAGCCCTCAAATCCGAAGATCGGACCGGGCTAGATGCGCGCACGGTCAAAGGACCGGCATCGCGCACACTATCATCGGATAGGTGGATGGACTCTCCCCTGGATGTGCCGTCCGGCTGGTCCATGTCGTCTCCAAGGAGGTCATCGTCATCCAGAAGCGTAAGATCAGTAATCTTAGGTGGCCTGCTGGAAGAAGGAACAGCATCCTTCTCTGCCTCAGGGGAGAGAATAGCAAAATAAGAGTGGTTGGCCTTGAAGGCCGTCTGGAAGGTCTGTCTAGGGAGAAAGCCCGTGGACTTGGGCTTGGGACCCACTAAGGCCAACTGCTTAGGCTGGTTAGGATGAGCATCCTTCCCAGTTTGGGCATTATCGACAATCACAGCCTTGCCCTTATCCTTAGACCCCTTCGGGGTCTCGGGCGCGCGGAGAGGGCTTTTGCCCTTTCCCTTCGGGTCCCTCCGGCTGTTGGAGGCTCCCTGCTGGGCCGCACGATGGCGTTGCGGGAGAGCGGGCCGTGGCTTATTGCCACTGATGTAGCAATCGGCCGCAACATGACCCACGTGGTTGCACGAGGTGCAGAAAGTGGGGATCTTCTCATAGATCACCCGCTGAACAAGAGACTCCGAGCCCTGCTCAATCTCAATCTCATGAACAAGCTCAGCTCTCAGATCTATCTCGACGCAAAATCGCGCCATGTTAGCCCTCGTCTGAAGGGCCGTCGGGGCGTCGATACGAATCGGCTGCCCAATACACTTAGCTAGTGTAGTGATGGCAGCACGGTCATAAAGATGGGGTGGGAGGCCGGGAAGGCGGCACCACACAGGGACAATCGGCGCCTCCGTCTTTGGGTTAAACTCGGCATAATATTTGAACACCCTAGCTGGGCATCCACACAAATGAATGGAGGTCTTAAGCCAGACCTCATTATAATCCTCGGGAAGGTGAAACGAGACTAGAAGGTGGTTGAAATTGTACCACTTCGACGACACTCTACCCTTAAAGCCCAGTTTTCCTAACCCAGCAGATATATCTCGGGGAGCGGGGATAGCATATGAAAACTTAAAGACCAGAGTGTTAGCCAGCTTACCTGCAAGAGCGACAGATTCGGCTTCAGTGTATCGGGCCTTCACTTTGTTTCCCTCCGAGCGAATAATGGTCCCGCAGGAATGCTCGTATCCCCCGTCAAAGGTAAAATCCTTGGGTGTCGGCCGCGGGGCGCCCGTGCCGCCATCTCTTTTTCCCGTAATGGCCTCACGAAAGGAGAGCGGGCCCGAGGAGGGGCCCGGTTGTGACCCGGCTGCAGCGGGGTTAGCCGTGGGGGGGCCCGTCGGCAGAGTCCCTTTCGGAGAATTTTCGATATTATTGGCCGTGGGCGACTTGCTTGGGCCCGCTACAATCACCCCGTCTTCACGCACGTACAAGATGTCCGGTTCAGGAATTCCGGCGGTTGTGGTGACTATTCCGGCGTGTTGATTAGACGGAGTGGGTGCGTTTGGCCGGGGCCCGAGAATTCCGGCCGAAGAAATCACCTTCGGGGCTGCCCCGATTAACATACCAGCCGGCTGAAATTTTCCGGCGGCCGTTGCTCCACCGGCGCCGGCGCCGGCAAGGGGAAGACGGATGGAGCCTGCCGGAGTATAAACTGAGGAGGCGGGGGCCTGGTGGGAGTCCTTTGGGATAGAAGGGGGTTGAAGACTAACGGGCTGGGGGGGGAGATGTGTGGTGGCGGGTTGCTGGGCCTGTGTGTTATCGGGTAGAAGAGGCTGAATTTCGGGTTGAGGGGCTGAGATGGGTTGAGAGGTTAATGTCTCTTGTGGACTTGATTGATATGTGGGTTGGGGTGGGATTTGGGATATAACTGGTAAGCCCAAAGAGCGGGCTATGATGTTTAGATGGGCCGTTGTCTGAGTTGCGGCCTGCAAAGTGGCATGTGGGTTAGGCCCAACCGAGATAGGGTGAGATGGCCCGGAGATTGACTGGATCGCCACGTGGAGGGTCGGGATTTTGTCCCCTTCAAGGAGCAGCTGAGGGTTTTCCTTTGTTACGCCGTTTTGCAGACTATGGTTGACCGATGGCATTTTTGACAGCGAGAGTTCCGACGGCAGGGGTTTCGACGGTAAGGTCCCAAAAGCAATCTCTGAGATTCCGGCGACGTGGCCGCTTGGAATATCACCAGCCGAGGAGAGGGTTTTCCCTTCTTCCACACCGCCGTTTCTGCCCAAGGTTAGTTGTGTTTTGTTGCTAGGTTAGGTTAGTTGTGTTTTGTTGCTAGGTTAGTTGTCTTAGTTGTCTTTGTTGCTAGTTTAGTTGTTAGGTTAGTTGTCTGATGCTGCTAAGTTAGTTGTGTTTTGTTGCTAGGTTAGGTTAGTTGTGTTTTGTTGCTAGGTTAGTTGTCTGATGCTGCTAAGTTAGTTGTGTTTTGTTGCTAGGTCTGATGCTGCTAAGTTAGTTGTGTTTTGTTGCTAGGTTAGTTGTCTGATGTTGTTAAGTTAGTTGTATTTTTTTTTATAAAAAAATTGTAACCCATAGGATTTGAACCTGGTACCTCATGGAGGCAAGACAAGCGATGCAACCACTACACCACTTAAGGTTGAGTGTCTTTTGTTGCTAGGTTATTTATTTCAATACAACGGGTCAACGCCGGAAGTCAACGATTCTCGCCGGAAGTCAACGGTCAACGCCGGAGTCAACGGTCAACTATTTTATTATTTAATTAATGTATATTTTAATTGATTTTGATCTAGACAAAATGAGTGACTAAGATTGAGTCTCACGTACTCATTTTAAGGAGTGGTCTCATTGGATGCATCCATGATAATGGTTCTCAATAAAAGAAATGAGAATAAATCTCAGCCATAAGATCAAACAATTTAACAGCTCGTAAAAATGCCACAATTATACATTTATTAAGGATATTTCAGACATTTTTCATATAGTTGCTAGTGGACCCTCAGACCCACCAACACATAGGTCCCACACGTCCCACGGTCAATTATTCATCCAAGTGATCCAACCACAAATCCCACACACATCAACCATTGCGGGCCCCACCCTCTCTCACCCACCGCACCTGCCCCTCTCTCTCTCACACACTCAGACACACACAAAACACACACAGTGCTCTGGTGCACACAGATCCTGTCGGGAACCAAACTCCGTCGCCGCCGTGCCGACAGCCACCCTCTAGACCATCATGACCACCGCCATCCTCAGCCGCCGAGCAGGACGACTGCCGCCTCCGGCTGGTATAGGAGCGCCGGAACAAACAATCTCTGCCGCCTGGGACTTGCCGCCGAACCCGCTGAGCTCAAGGACGATCGAGTACGGCACTAATCGATCGGCGGGAACCCTAATCGATCGAGAACGCTTGTAAAAACAGACCAATCGGCACCACCGCCCGCGATCGGCCACTCCGCCCCTCCCGGTTTGCAGGAATCCGTGAAGACGGTGATGTGGAGCATGCGAAAATCGAAAATCCATGAAGACGGTTTGCAGGAATCCGTGAAGACGGCGATATGTTCTTTTGTGCATATCATGAATTTCGGCTCCGACAACTTCAATTTGTGTTGGGTGATTGGTTGGAAATTTGATAATTAACATGGACTCAATTGCAATTTCTTAATTTCTAATAAATTTTAATTTAATTCATGGGTCAATTTTTTAATTTACCAAAACTTCTATAATCACATAATAATGTAATTGAATTGCTCAAAATCACGGTTTAAATTGCACGAAAAAAATACTCAGAACTGCATAAACAAAAAAAATATTGATCCGACTTTATATGTTTCGGATCCATTATTTGAGATTACTTTCAATTAAATTATTTAGGTTCCATTTTGGATTTATAATTTTATATAAAAATATTATTAAAATAAATATATATAAAAACATAAATAAAATAAAACTATTTAAAATACTAAATATATTTTTATAATATAATTAGTTCTATATTTCACTAGAAAATCTACGGCTGTGTTAAACACAGCCGGCCCATAAGATTTTAATTTTTTATTTTATTTTAATTTTTATGAAGAATGAATTTTTTATTTTATAATTTTAAATATATATAAAATAAAACATAGTTGTTTTTTATATTTTAGTTTTTAAGTGATATTATAGATCTTTACTCTTTAGGTCCCTCACATTGATGTACATCCTTCATCTCTTTGCAATGTTTAATACTTACCATCTTCACAAGTGCACACTTCTTTTAAGTGATGTTTAAGCAAGTATTAAACATTGCAAATTAAGAAGTGTATAGTTGTGAAGATGGTAAGAAAATACCCAACACAAACATTGACATTCATGCAATAGAAAGATAGAAGACAAAGTTCATATGTTCAAAAGAAAATCAAACTTCAACAGATGACGAAGGCACCAATGAACTCTTATAGTCACCCTTAGGGGGGGCCTTGAAAACAAGAAGCAGCCGACAATGGCAAAAATTCGGGGAAAAACAAAAATAAAAAGTCAAGGTTCTGAGAATCCTTGGTGGAAGTAAGTGAGAGAGATGAAGGAGGAAACATTTTATATATTTATATTTCCTATTACTATATGTATCACCAAATGCGCACTCCTTTCCCTACTACAGTGCACTATCCTTTTGGCCACCTTTCAATCTTGTGGTGATAATCTTATGTCTTCGGGCCTGTCACGATGAAAATTGCCAGCCAGGTAATTAACATGTTTTTTCGGTTGAAGATTTGAGTGAGACAATATCAGATAAAAATAATACAATTTAGATCTGGTTTAAAATAATACTTGAATTGTGATATGTGTTGTTAATCTAAATGCTTTGTCAAAGAGAAACTATCAAATAATCTATAACTTGAGAAATATACTTGGCACATAGAAAAAATATAATTTATTTGCAATGCCACATATAAATGATTTTCTTTTCAAAGCCATAAGCCAAAGATGTAAAAAGAAAAAAAAAAATGATTGAGTCAAAACAATTACCTGGCTTCTGAAAAGTGTAGTGCAAATTGTACATACGTTGCAATGGGGCCATCCGCACCTGATTAAGCAACAAAAAACAATGCATATGCTTACCTGTGATGTAGATGGAATACGTGTTAGTGAAGTGAGTTGCTCTTAACATGCTACAAACAACACCGACAAATTTCTAAATGGTCACTATTGATGGTTTTTTATTTACTCTAATATTTCACGACCTACTGTATTATATTATTGTCTGTAAGAAAAATTAATGGTAATTCTGTTTCTCTTATTGAAAAATGAGTCTCGATTATCTTGCTCGATATAAGCGTTAAGAGGTTCTATCTGATTTCAATCTCGAGCTACGTTGGTTTGCCGTCGATCGTCTTTGAAGCTGAAACCTTTGAGGATTTGCATATCAAGAGATGCAGAATTGAATCTGTTGAGAAGGTACTTTCATGGCATCTGCGTAAAGTTTTCTTCTTTGAGGTTGACATTGTAGAAGAACATTTGCGGGAAATATCGAGTTGCTCCTTGATCGAACACTTGGCTTTTGATACCTGTCATGGTTTCACAACAATTGAGGTAAAATAATAATCTCAAAAACTTTGAATACGCTAATTTGAAAGATTATGTTGATGTCATTGTCAAAATCAACGCGTATTCAAAGTATTTGACATTGTTATTTTTAATCTCAATTGTTGTGAAACAGTATCAAATGTCAAGTGTTCGATCAAGGGGCAAGTCGAAAATCCCCTGTGGATTGACATTTTCTTCAGTAACATCCCTTGCACATAGTTTGGACTTTTGTTTATCGATTTAGAAAACAACCTTTCAACTGAAAAAAAAAAAAATTATTAAAAGAGAAGGTAAGTTAATTATTCATGATGATAAATGTAATGTAATGCAATGAAGAACTTTATACATATTCATATATTCATGATGATAAATGTAATGTAGAACTTCTATCTGAAATGTGCTGGAAATTCATAACAGAAAGTGCCCATAAACAGGCTAATAAGAAAAGAACAACTAAAATGTATAACTATCCATAAACACACAGCATCATAGAATTGTAGAATGAGCAACATATCAGAAAATAAAGAAAGTACATTGAGAAACAATTTTACAACAAAATTATGTACAACTATATATGCAGAAAATAAAACTACCTAAGAGCAACTGGAAAGGTTTATACTTGCAAATCTACAATATAAGCACACTAAAGACAGAGTTGAGTACCTGACTGAGTGTGCGTATTAGAAAAACAATGTTATAAAGAAGTTCAAAGCCAAAGGAAATTGGATACACAAATGAGTTGAAGGAGAGTCTAAAATGAATAAATTATAAGTCTTTTATTTGTAATTTGAAGTATACAATAAAAAATTTAAGCACCCTTCTGTATAGTATTGATTCCCAATTGAATTATATATAGAACCAAAGACCAAAAGTCAACATTTAAAAACACAAAACTATTCACACAAACAAATTCTCATCTTGCACATACTAAAATTTGTCTAATAGAAAATCACAAATGCAAAAAAAATTGACTCTTACATTTAGATATTGCAGTCGAAGTTTTCGGATCAAATTCGATAATCAAAGCGGGCATGGGAACGAAAATGCCGCCTTCACTGACACCTCCTATACTCCTAAGGGCTGCCCCAAAAAATCCAATCACTGTACCAACCATAATTTTCCAGCAAAATTCCATATACTGCAAATACCCAATATATAATAATCAATCAGCTTCTCCACATTAACGAATAATTCAGCAACTGCTTAATTAACCAAGTTTTTTTTTTAAAAAAATTTCTACATAAATAATGAGAAATTGAAACTCACATGCCACACATGTTTGGACAGCATGTTCATAATACTCTGCTACAAGAAGTTCACTATTTTTGTCAATTGACCTGACTCAGAATCTTCACTTGTCCCCTTTGTTCTTGTTGAAACTTCTTGAGCTGAAACTGAAACGACACCGCATAATGTTAGAACAAATAAACCAGTCAAAACCACAACCTATTTGCCACTCAAACCCTTCTTGACAATCATAAAAAC